ATTATAGTGTGTTAGTTTGACAAATAAATATGCAGCTTTTTGCCGAATTTTCAAATATTTGTGCAGAATTTTTAATTTTTTGGTGCAGAATTCCCCCAGGAGTATACAGTTGTCCAGGCTGCTGGGAAGTGAATTCAGTACTGGGGCCGGGGCCGGCTGGGCAGCCCCTGGGCCCCGACTCCTCTGGGCATCCCCTGAACAGGGGCAGCCCGGGGGAGCATCCCCCTGGGAAAGGATGGCTGCTCAACAGCTCCCCCTGGGGTCAGGGATCCCCCCTCCCTCGGCCCTGAACCTCCAGCAGCTGCTGCTCTCCTCTGGCTGGGGACCCCCCAGTGACTCTGTCCCCACTACCCAGCCAGGCGTCCCCTCTGCTGAGCCCAGGGCAGAGCCTGGCTCTGAGCGTCCCACCAGGATGAGACCCCCCCAAGGGTTCAGGTGGGTGTGGGACTGGGAGTGGGGAAGCAGAGCCGGGCCCCTCACCTGCTACCACCAGCTCCACGGGGTCACTGGGCTCCGACCAGACAGGCGGGTCTGATTTGGTGCTATATCGGCAGCTGTAGCTCCCGGCGTCTCTCCGGCTCACACTGCGAATGGGAAACCGAGTCACGTCCCCAGCAGGCTCCACATCCTGCAGCGCGTTTGGGTTTCCATCTTTGTACAGAAGGAACCTCATGTTCCGGTGCTGACCCCGACACCGGAGGGTCACGGCTCTCCCCAGGGCGACCCCCCTGCTGGGGCGCAGGGAGATGGAGGGTTTGGGGTAGTAGGTCTCTGCAGTGAGAAGGAGACAGGCCGTAAGACAGACCCCAGCACAGTCACTGCGCCCCGTCCTCACCGCATGGTCCCAGAGACGGGGCCCCTGGGAGAAAACCCAGCCAGAGGCACCTCTCCGAGATCCCAGAGATTCCTGGGAGCTACACCCGAAACTGCCTGAGGACCTAAACCCAGAGCAACCCTCTGTACCCATCTATCTACTTAATGGGCCCCCCCAGCCCAGTGTCCCCCCTCCCCATTCCGACCCCCCCATGGGCCCATCTAGCCAGTATCTCCCCAAGGGTGAGTGCACAGAAGCCACCAGTAACTGCTGCGTCTCTGGGTCCCCGGCCGGGTGTCCCATCTGCTGGGCCCAGGGCTCAGGGCGGAGCCCGGCTCTGAAGGTCCCATCAGGGTGGACACTCACCGATGGTCTGGCTGGGTGTGGGGCTGGGAGCGGGGACACCGAGCCGGGCCCCTCACCTGCAACAATGATCTGCACGATGTCACTGGCATAGGACCAGTTGAGCGGCTCCCATAGGGCGTGGGATCGGCAGCTGTAGGCCCCTGCGTCTTCCCACCTGGCGCTGGGGATGGTGAATTCGTCCCCGTCACCCTCCAGCTCCCGGATTTCGATTCCATCTTTATACAGAAATAACTTCCTGCCCCAACACCGACAATGACAGCGGATGGTGACGGCTCCCCCCGGGGCGATCACCGCGCCGGGGCTGACAGAGATGGAGGGGCTGAACCAAAGGAATGCTGCATTCACACATAAACAGGAGTGAGATGGGGAGACACAAACCCCTCCCCATGTGTCTGTAACCTGCCCTTAGTGCCCAGCCCCAGAGACAGCACCAGGGGTAACAGACACCTCACTGCATCTACAGGGAACCTGTGGGCCGGGTTCTGATCTCAGCCCCTGGGGTCAATCCGGAGTCACCCCTGGCTGCAGTGGGGACAGTCCCCATGGGAGTCAATAACAGGAGGTTGAAGTGAGTTTTGGGGTGAAGGTTCAGGGCTCAGATCCTCTTTTCCCCTCCCCAACCCCCATCCTAAACACTAAGGTTTCCCCAGCCTCACAGATACTCACATCCTGACATCCCGATCTGCCCGGCCAGCCAGCAGCCTGGAGAGGAGACGGATCATTAGGGACCAGATCCCAGAGCAACTGGATCCTACACCCTGGTCTCAGATCCCCAGCGCCCCCCACCCCCACCTGCCCGCCCGCCCGCCATGGGCACACGCCCTGGTCTCACATCCCCACCATGGACAAATGCGCTGATCTCAGATCCGCCCCCCCATGGAGACACGCCCTGGTCTCACATTCCCCCCACCCCCATGGGAACACATCCTGGTTTCACATCCCCCCCATGGAGACACACCCTGGTCTCACAT